TATTAAAATCATAGTATTTTAGGTCAGAACTATTGCCTTCAATAGCAGGGATTTTCACACTTAAAACAAAGTAAACTTCCATTTCCAGAAATATTGTTACGTAAATATGTTGAGACTAATTTTACTACTCATTGTGTCTTTGCTCACTACTTGAGCATAAAAGATAAGTGTCCAAAATGCTGATACTCTCAGTACTCTGCACAATTGAACAGGTCTAAGACATGATCATATTTACATTTTTCAGATAGATAATAGATAGGTGATAGATAGATAGATAGATAGATGATAGATAGATGGGTTATTACTCTAATTTATAGCATTTGTATCCTGCAAAGCTGCATAAAACCGAATTAATGAATTCTCTACCACTGCTCCTAAAAGAAGTACAGTAAGATTCCTGTGAGCTTCTAGTCACAATTCTGAACAAATATAATTTTGTCTTATGTGTGTTACTATATAAAGCTATCTTATTGAAAATGTATTTTTGATTATTATGGAACTCATTATAAATTATTTAACATGTACATTTTTCAAAAATACATCACAGATATCTTGCCTTCAGGGACATTATAAATAACCATATAGTTTAGGTTACTTGCAACAGATAAATCAATACTAAAACACATCCAAATTTTAAAATATACAAAAAACTTTGGTATTAAATAAGAATGAATAAGGCCAGGGATTTAACTCAGTGGTACCACGCCTGCCTTGCAAGCTCAAGGTCCTGAGTTCAATCCCTACTACCACACACCAAAAATGAATGAATATTTTTTCAATATGAGTTTAAACAAGAATCCAAACTTATCTCATTCATCTTCAACTGGAATCACATACATTGGAGAAGTCAAATTCTGATTGCTGTGCAGATGTCTCTAAATAACCAGGGAATATCTATTTTAGGAAAAACAAATGAATTTTAACTGTCAAATTCTCACCTAATTAAAACACAATTAATGGAAATGGACTTCATGTGCATATATCCATGGTAATATCAATGAATATGTCTATTCATATTTAATTTCTAAAATTTGTATCAGTACATGTTTGCAGTACACAATGTTTAAATTCCTTGGGTGAAATTGGTTCATGGAACTTGCATATCTTAATTCACGTTTTCATCTCCTTTTCCTTGGTTCTCCTTCGCTTCATCTTTTGATCTAACTCACTTTTGAGAAAAATCTCCCTACTCCCTACTGTTATTATACTACTCCTCTGTCTTTTATTTTGCTATTTATTTTTACTCTTGCTTTCTCCTGCATGAGGTATTGAAGTTTGAGTGTCTCACTTATTCCAGTTAACATTATGGGCTCAAGGTGCCTCCGTTTTCTCACAAATGAATCAAGTTCATCCTTCTTTATGCAAGATGTTATGTATTAAAAACTAAAAGAAAGAAAAATTCTAGCTAAAAGATCGTGGAGAAGATAGTGGAATAAAGTATTATCAACACCCAAGTGCAGCAGTATACACCTGTAATTCCAGCACTTTGAACCTCATGGAGAATTTCAAGGCCAGCTTAGGCTACATAGCAAGAACCTGTCTCTGTCTCTGTCTCTCTCATCTGTCTATGAGAGAAAATATTTTACAACTGTGTCATATTTTCTAATTTTCAATATTTTTATCCTGTGTATTTTCCTTTTCTTAATGAAATTCTTAATATATTTTAAATATTTGCTTACTATTCTTCATTAGGTCCATAATGCTTAAACGTTCTATGAACTATAGTTCATAGCTCAGTTGCTTGACTACCAGTGAAAAAGTCACTTTAATTTCTATTTAAATATTATAGTGGGGAAAAACGAAAACTAAAACTTGAAGTTCTACAATCCTTTTACTATATTCTCAATTTATAATATACAAATGCCAACACCAAAAAATACTTCCATAAAATGAAAATTTAGTTTATATATATATTTAATCATGAGTTATATTATATATAGTGTACAAATGGTGACCATAATATACGATGAATGGTTAACTTTTTAAAAGTTTATTCTGGTAAAAACATATTGACGTTGGTACCCTTCAAAATATTTGCCTTTACTTCAGTCATACTTACCCCATTTTTCTTTCTACTCTCTGAAGCAGTTTTGTAAATTCTTTTTCATGTGTTTCTTCAGAAGTTTTGAATTTTTAAACATGAATGAGAGAAGACTTTGAAAACTGCTTCAGGACTGACAAGAAAGCTAGGACAACTGTGCTTCAAGAAAGGGCACATTTTGAGGATTATTGAAAATGTGTCTTTTGTAGGAGTTTATTTTAACTGAAGCCTTCGTATTTTTATCACAGGTGTCTATACATTTATTTGCGTTAAATATTCTCTATATAATACATAATATACAAAGTTATTTTGAACTTTTCATAATTGGCATTATGGGATAGATGACATTTGTTAGGAATGACTGTCCTGTGTAATGTAGGACAATTTGTTGCATCCTTTTTATCCACCTTCCATACACCAGTAGCATCTCATTCCTCATCTATTGTAACAGCAAAAGATGGAAATAAAGTGTTTGTAGATGGCGAGGGAGCGGGGGTGAAGGGAGGGCAGGGACAAGGGGAAGAAATGAGAACCAAGACTTGACATGTAGAGGTACATGATCCCAACAATGAATGTAACTGTAGTGCATACCTAGAATGTACCAATAAACTCAATTAAAGCTGAAAAAAAAAAGATGCCTTCAATGTTAACAAATGTCTACTGGAAAAGCAAGTTGGCCCAGAGTTGAGAAGACTTAAAAACATTCATATCTCTTGTATAAAGAACTATAAAGTAACAGATATTTTATAACACGTGTATATTAAATATACCATACAATCAGTAATGCAGTCTAGTTCAGTGTTTAGAAGAAAGTTTTTAGTTTGTATTTCAGTTTCTTTCAATAAATGCAGGTTGACAGGCTTGTTAATAATATATTATTAAAGTAAATTCAAAAATATCCTTAGGATATATTTGATTTATTTTCAATATTTTCCAATGTATACTTCTTGCAATATTGAGACTTAGAAATGTTAACAGTAGCAGCATGAATTATTGTTAATTTCAGAGCAAAAATTAGACTTTTGTTTCAGAATTCACTTTCTTTCTTTCCCCCTAAAAAAATTCCTAAGAACACATATACTGAAGATTTTCTGGCTCTGTTTCATGTTCTATTTAAAGCTAATTAATTCTAAGCTTGGCAAGAGGAAATGCAGTTCAGGGTTGTATGCTTTGGCATCCTTTTGGCTTTAGGACTTTTTAACACTTAAATCCAATTTTTATTTGTTTCTACAACTTGTTGCAATTCCCTGATGCACCATTTCCATTCACAGTGATTTAGGATCCTTATATTTACTTCCTAGTTGCTATAAAAAGAGGTTTTTGGTTTTGCTTGCACTCATAAAAAATACTTCAATCTTTAAATATATTTTAAATATTAATTATCCTAAAAGACAGCATGAAATCAAAATATTAAAAATTATAAGAAATATAATTTTTATATAACATTTTCTCTCTGCTATAATACAGATCTTTAAAAATCTCTAGGTTAAAGAGAAGGTCAAATTCAAGATGGCACATTAATATAAACACTGCTGGTCCTCGGTTTTAATTTTTTATCTTTATTAAGGTTGTGAAAAGATTCCTGTGTCGTGGGAGAGAAAAACGCTATTGCATCTTTGCTGGAGAAATTTTTTTTCTTTTTTTGGAGAAAGAAAGCAATACATTGTGCAACACCAGTTCTTCTTGAATTTGTACTTTATTTTGCTATCTTTTGGATTAGTTATGCTTTTGGTGATGTTGACCAAAATTTGTCCATAAATGCCTAATGGTCTATGAATACATATTCACTTTTATGCCATGTGCTATAGTATAATTTACTTTTTAAAGTTAGAATTATAAAATCAAACTTCTTGTGTACTTAAACCCTTGCTCATGAGAGAATAATAAAATATTAAGTAAAATCATGTTCTTTTCTGTCATATAAATTCCCTATTGTTAGCAGAACTTTGTAATCAAGGCTATATAGTCTTTTATTTCTCAAAGGAATTTATTAACATTTATACTAGTAATAATATATTGCTCCTGTTATAGTTTCACTGTTTACTTGTTAAGAATGCTAATAAAAATTGGGGTAGTAAAGACCAAGCTCAAAAGTTCTTCTTAAAAAATTGGACTAGAGCCCATATATCTTGCACTCTGTTAAAAAAAATAGTTTTCTGTATTATTCCCACATCCTGACTTCATTGGAGACTGATATTAAAGACAGTCAACTAATTGACCTGGCAGAGAAAACATCAAGGAAGCCCCAAATTCTGTCTGTGGCATGGATACTACTGAGGGATATTTTGATCCAGAGTTTTGGTGATAACTGGGGTGGAGGGATGAAAAATTTTATAAAACAGATGCTTAGCAAAGCACAAATGTGTACACAGTTGGAGCCAAAGGAAATTTGGTAGCTGAAGAGCTTAGCACCACTGAAAAGAAATCAAGTACTTTGTAAAAAGACAAAAGTAAAGATTCCTTGTATTTATGTGGAGAATCAGGAAGACCCAACCCATCAAACACTCAAGTGTACAAAAATGTAAACTTTCATTTAAGACATCTTTCCTTGGGAACTCTCCCTGGGAAGGACCTCATAGGGAACTGACTCCCCAGGATTCATTTCACTGGGCTCAGCCTTTGAGGTACTCAGAGGTGCCTATATCCACGCTTCAATGGGGACTTGCTCCTGCTTCCATGACAGCTGACTTTAATGTTGTCCCCCTGATGCTGGCTCTACTGGCTTGGAGAATGCAAGAGCTGTGGGGTCAGTGAGAGTTCCACTTGGATTTCAAAGGTAGTCATGGGAGGTAAACTTCTGAGCGTTTCAGAGACAAACGTTCTGCCTTCAGTCTCAAAACAGGCTATTCTTTAGATTTTTTGAGAAATGATTGAAATTTTGAGACTTGGGAAACTAATTATTGCATTTTTTATTATATACCATATACTAGGGCAAAGTATTAATGTGTTATTGTGTTTATTTGGAGATTAAATATCATTTAAGGAGTTGCCTTTGGGAGTCAAGTTGACAGCAGATGGGATATGATGATTAAGCTTACTTCTCAACTGGATCATCTTGGGAACCACCAAAGATACTAGTCGAGGCTTTTGGCTGCCTTTGGTAACTCATGAAGGAATGACCTTAGGTACTATATCTGGTCCCTGGGCTTTTCCTCTCTGGCACTGTTCACCTACTCCTCTTTCTGACTACAATGAACAAAGATCTTTGATGCACCATACCCTCCTGTTATGATGCATCTGTGTTGGTGGTATCTTCTCATGCACTGAATTAAATTTCTCCTCATCTAAATTGTTTGTGTATTGTGGCTCAACAATTGGAAAACTGATTAATATAATTTGGTTGCTTATTGGTTTGAGAACTCTAAGTCATATCAAACATTTTAAAGAAAATATAGTCACTTGACACAGATTTTCATTAGTAGATTGAATTTTACTTCCATGAGTTCTTCCTGAACGTGGAAAATACTTTCTTAACATCTAACATGTGATTCTACTTTACTTACTTAACTACCCATAGCATATTAAAATGCTATCTTAATGTATAATATCCATGGTCATCATGTATTTCTTCACTGCTGTAATCGGAAGGAATCCAAAGAAAGCTTGTCATATTGTAAATTCCCATAAATGAATAAATAACATGCTGTATTTTAAACTTAAATTCCTAATAAGTATCCTAAATTTTTCTCAGGAAGCTTTTATTGGGTTGTAAATATATATTCTTAAGGTATAACATATATAAACCTTGGATCTTTGAAAAGAAAATTGAGTAAAAGAATATCAAACCCATGTATCCAGGATTACACATTACATATAATAATGTGTTTCAAATAACTGTGCAATATTTACTTTG